AAAGAGAGAGAGAGAGAGAAAAAACTACATGAACAGTCAAAAATGCACACTGGTTTGGTGAATGTGTAAACAACATCGGATATGTCTAATGAAAATATAACGTTTCCTACCGAAACGAAAATCCACACATGACTAAGAATGTCGTATGTCTCTAATGACTAAATGCTGGTCGGCGAAGTACATACTTAGGTAGATCCCGCATGAGCCGCAGAGCTAAACTCTAATTCTCTAGGCGTAATACGAGGTAAAGAATAGAAAAATTATATATATATATATGTATATATAATACGTATATACGTATTATATATTAGTGTTTCCGATTTCTCGATATTTTCCACTTTTTGAGAAATCAAATTATATTTCTCGAGAATTTTTTTTTTTCCACATCTAATTCATTCAAAAAATTGTCAAATGAAAGAAACGTTAACGTTAATCTGTAATAAATTTATTTCTTCAATGCAAAACGAAACATCACTTTTTTATTTTAAATTTTATATTCTTTTTCCTGTACAAGAAAATTTTGTAATTATAACAATAATTTGTTACAGTTTACAGAGAGAGAGTATTGGCTTAAATCGTATATAGGATGAATAATAATAAACAAACAACAATTTTCCTGGATTAAAATTTTGCCGAGAAATTCTCGAGAAGAAACACTAGTATATATATGTGTATTAAATTGAGTCGTGCAATTTGGTTCGCGCTACCTGAATGATAGCGCTTCTCGCTGTGAGTGACACGGCGCTGCGTGCGGCGTGCACGTGGCTGTGGTCGGCCACCGACACCGATACCGACCCCGACGCCGACGCCAACGCCGACGCCGACGCCCCCACCACCAACACCACCACCACCGCTTCCATAACCTGTTCTCTCGACCCCTCCGATACCGAGGACGCCGACACCTCCTCCATCCTTTCCAGCCCCTGTGTGCCACACACGTGCATATGCAAAAAAAAGCCACCCTCCAGACTCTTCTCTTCTCGTTCCGATTCTCAAACACGGATTCGAGGCAGGGGAGGGGGACTCGCCAGCTAGTTTCTCACTTCTCCGCACTCGTTCCCTCTAACCATCGGTTAGACGCGAACACTGTATACATTGTATAGTATGTATGTACAGTATGGAAAATGTATTCATAGAGTGTGATACGTTTAGTTTAAAAAGTCATAACTTCGATTGTGCAGGACGTTCGTATATTCATGGAAGGGTCGATTTCAAGAGGATAAAATAACTACGTACGAAAAGTTGATGTACAAGAAGTTGTTGAACGAAGCATTAAGACTTTTTTATATTATATATTATAATGTAATAAGTTGTGATTACAAAAATTGTATTTACCAATCTAAATAAATATGTATCTATGTATCTACAAATTAATTGAATTAATTTTCTATATATTATATAATTGCCTTTCGAATAATATTAATATAAACAAAAATGATTATTTAAACTTGACTTTAAATTTGAACTTCATAATTCGAAAATTATGATGTTTTTTTTTTAAATTCCCCTATTTCGAACATTTCGATTTTGAATAAAAATATAATTTTTATTAGTTTCAATAATATTTTATAATACAGATTGTTGATTATATTTATGTAAGATATGTTTTTAAAAAACTTTTACAACTGGAAATTTTAATTCAAACTGTTTAAATCATTAAATTATTAAAAATAACGATACTACGATCAAAAATTTTTCATTTTTTTAAAAATCATATGACCATTTGAACACTGTTTATGGTTATGGTCACGGTTTGTTCGATTCTGATTCGACGACATTAGAATAGAGCTAATGCTTACGCGCAAGTCACGCTCCATGGAATTTAATAACGTTCGAGCGAACCGTGACAATATCGTAACCACCGGTGTAAATCGAGCTTGGATCGCGTTCGCTCCCGTGTATATACGATATCTTTTCTCTTTAATAGAATCACGCCCATCATTGCACTGAAGCGAGGAATTTCGATTATTTTCATCGATCTTTTCTTCGAAATTGTCACGTAGCACTAGAGAACATTCGAATTTTTGAAACTAACCTCTTCGATACGGTGTTAGTCAACTGCACAAAAATATAACCGAAATATTTTTTTTACATTATTTTATAAAGCATTAGTTTTATAATATCATGTATTATGAATATAATAAATAACTCATTTTTAATAAATAATAGAAATAATTACGAAAATCACAAATTATATTGTGACAAATATATTATTTATATTAAGTCTATATGTGTACATCTAGTGACATCTAGTGGCTCTTGATTTAAGTTAATATTCACACTGAATAGGTTAATCAAGCATGATTTTATAAACTAGTTTAATGTACCGAAACCGATATTTTTTCAATTTTTCAATTATATCAGTTTAATTAAATTATAGTAATATATTTTATGAAAAATATACAAAAAAAAACCATAAATTTTGACTCGATCATATTGTCGGATGTTTATTCAAAAACGATTGTAACCGAAGTAAAGTAATGAATACAATGGCATGACAGGATAATTATTGGTTATACATAATATGTTCTTAGGCAGAAGTTATTTTTGATTCATGATTACGTATTCCTAATTCGTAAATTAGAAATAACAATAAATTATTGCTGAGAAGAGCGAATTATAACTTTTGGAAAATTATTTAATATCTATATAAATTTTTAGTTTTAAAACTTATTTTATTACTCACAATGTATATTTGTCGATTTTCTTTAATTGTATTATATTATATCATCAATAATTAATCATTTGAAATTGTCTTCATTCCATTTCAACTATTAGAAACGTCTCAAAAATAAATGACATTTACAAATTTTTCTTTTTTTTCTAATTCTTTGAAGCAAAAAATGAAAAAATATTAATTTTTATACATCTTTATATGTCAAATTTTCATTTTCATAAATTTTTCTTACTTGAAAAAAAAAAAACTCGATTAAACTTTTTATAAATCAAAGATTTTATCTCTTTTTTTTTAAATATCAAATTACTCAGATTCAACTAACATTTATAATCTCATTATTTAAATCTCCATGAAATTCAAGTTTTTCTTTGCAAGATCCGAAATAAGATTCACTAGCTACTTAAGAAACTCGCATCGTCGAGTTTAGCATTATTTTTCATTATGTACCCTCCTCGACTATACAATGAAAAAGGGGCACGGTTCGAAGGTTCGCGAATGGGTTATAAGCAACAGCGTGTATCGTCGAGATTATAATCAAGTTAAAAGAAATATACAGCGGTATTGAGGATAACAAGTTTCCGCGTGGAGGAAAATGATTGGAAAACCACGGATCGAACGTGACTCGAACTACCGAGAAAATTGTCTTTGCTCGAGAGTCGCGTATGCGACAATAGCAGATGTACAGCGCGTATAACGAACGGATAACGCGGAAATGGCTCTTCCGCATGCAGGTACAGTTAAACAGTATGTACATTGCAACTGATTACAGCGGTTCGAGCGATTGCAGCTGTAGCCATGGACTGCTGTCGAAGGCGCGAGGGTAAACTCGTAGCCGGCTTAGCATTAAAACTATTAGAATATAAGTAAAAAATATATGATTATCGAATCGACCAAATGATCGATTTTTAATTGTTAATTGTATTTCAAATTCGTTATGCAAAAATCTATTTTTACTGAATCAATCAAATAATTTTTTTAATTCTTTGTGTTTGACGAATATATTCGTCATTTATATAAAATTTATTTCTCTAGAATACAACAAACAATCAGTTTTTAATCTGTTATTTGTTTAACGAGTTTCTGAAACTGAAATTCTATAATAATTTTATAAATATATTGATTCTGATAAATATGTATATATATATATATACTTTATCATCATCTCTTAATGTTAATTATGTACGCAAATACATATTTCTAAAATAAAATTAGATACATCAATATCGTTAATAGATAAACTATTCTGCAAAAATGAAATAATAAAATAAATTTAAAAAAAATTTTCAATGATATCCGATTACTCGTATCAATATTAGTTTACATACTTCAACTACGTTGTCAGAATGATTCCATTATTTAACAAAAATAAAAAAAGTTGAGAGACTCGTGTAGTAAATATATTCTTTAATTGCGAATGCACGTAGTATTATCGTAAAAGCGATAAGGTCGTTAAATTGGCGGGAAAATATTTGGCGCGAGTACGGAGACCCTGAGTGCTTGATAAGGGGAGTTGTGTAAGAGAGAAAAACCGGTAGAAGGTGACGGATGGAAAACGATGGCCGGAACGAAGAATAACGCTGTCATGTTCTCTCCGTTTCTTCTTTTATTCCCATTACGATTGCATGTGCCAGCATTGTGTGTGGAACGCAATGCCCGTGTCTCTTGAGAATCGGAACGTGATTAATATTACGAACGACTAGAGAGAGAATGAGAGACTGGTTGCGTCTGGATGTGGCGCAATAGACGTGCGCGAGATTATCGCGCATGCTAGCACGGACCACGAGGACGAGAAGCTCTCGTACTATATACAACACACGTAAGGCTATTTCGTGACGTTTCAAAATTAACCTCTGTGTGAGCAATAGAATAATATTTCTATACTTCACTTTGATAATTTTCTATATTTTTGATAAAATATCGCAAAATTATTGTTTGAATATTTTCGAAATCAATATTTCGCCATTTTATGATATTTGATCGGAAGTCAAATATTTATGAGAATATATATTTAGAATCCAAATTATGTATTTGATCTTATTTTACGAATGATAAAAGTTTCATTAAAAAAAAAAAGAACAAAAATAAATAAATTTAGTTCCATTAATATTACCTCAATTCTGAATTTCTTTTACAGTTATGATTGCCCACACAAGAATTAAATCAAAGAGAAAACGGTCAATTCGTCACACTTTCTTTTTGAATGCTCGTTACTTTGCCGTGGATCATCAATGATTCTTTCTAAACATTATAATAGAGTCTCTTTGCAACTGTACATCGAACATATACAGAGATACTGTTTTAGTGTTTTTCATCGATGATTCATATGGCAAGAAGGCGAGAGACGAAGTCAAATGGTTGTCACTAGTAGAACAAGTCGATAAACGCGGTAGACGATAAATCACCGGTACTTGTCCGCGGTAAAAATAAAATGTCGGACTAGCGAAATAGCGCGTAAATCCCCCTAGTGGCGTAGAAAAGAATTATCGCTGTTACGATTTCATCATGAGCTTCTCGTTCACGCGTGCGCTGTTCGATAAGGATGAAATGATGATGAACATGATTCGTTCGCTAAGATTCCTTGCGAGCAAAAGAGAGGTCCGACTTACCCAGCTGCTTTGAGGCATACTGTTGTAATAGACGTGTCCGTTTCTTCTCATACCCCTTTTGCGTAATATCCCCTAGAACAGTTAAAATTACAATTAACGTACTGGGAAATGTTACAAATGTATCTATGAATATGTGTGATTCCAATTAATATATACTAAACGTATTTCAAATGGCAATCAATCGTTCGAAATAACGACATTCGATACGATTTACAATTAACATTATCATAACAAGATCAATCGAATGGAAACGATATGTTAAAAGAGGATCACTATGCGATTAATAATCGCGTATTCTCAAAAATAGATAAATAAAAGGATTGCACGTTGAATCGCACGCCTCGAACGAATGGCTAAATAAGAAAGATCAATTTCTCAATGCTCTTTTCCATCGAAACGATTTCTGCTATGACCGAAAAAGGATGTATTTCGATAGCTTCTGGCGCGATCTCGTTTCGGGGTAATTTCTTCGCAGCACAGAACCCATGGAATTTCGAGGACGATCGGTGAACCCAAGTCGTTACGTTTAAAGTGGTAGAAATTGCTTCGACAAAATTCTCAGGGAGACGAGTTGTAAACGGAGACACCTGGCTGCTGAAAGTCACCTCGCTAAATGTAAACCAATGAAATTTTCCGAGAAAAGGAATTCTCAAGGCGCCTCGGATACGCAAATTTACCAGACCTGTTCTAGAATAACATTCTTCGAGTCATGGGGTGCCTTTCCATGATGCAATGCTACTTAATATAATTAACCTATAGCAGGTTAATTACTCGCAATTAGGTAGCAAGTTTCTTTTTTTTTTCCTTTAAATCTATTTTATACCGGTATTCAAAAAAATTTAATGCACGATTCTTTAAATAAAACAAAAATAAAAAAAAACTGCATCTTAGACTCGTTTCTTAATTATTCAGAATCACAGAAAACATCCCAGCTTTTTTAGCTACTGTATACTTGTTGTATTGTTCGTGTAAAGAGATTTTTAATTGTCAATAATAAAACAGAAAAGCACAATTTTTTACTTTTGAATTTATATATACATATAAAATAAAAACTTTTATGACTGCATTTATTTTTTTATTGTCGCTTTATTATAGAAAAAAGAATTTATCGCCACGACAAAAATTTAAGGAAAGAGCATTAGGAATTTAAAATAATGTGCACAATAATCGTGTAGATATGAAAACGCATTATTTGCATCAACGATGAATAATTTTGTAAGAAAATATACGATAAACAAGTTTTTCATTCGCAAAATTCCAGAATGGATATGTATTGTAAATTTCTGCATCGCAACAAGTTTGCCCACGTGTCTTATACGATGCGAAACGAGTTGGCATGCTGGCGTCACGCCTCGTAACTCGAGAAAATGCCTAGAATCGATCGGCTAACGGCCGAGACACGATTTTTCCAGGTAGGAGCACCGGCACAAAACGAACTAGGCCATGCATTATCACTGAATTTATTCCAACGAGCACGGATATCTATACACGTACCCCAATCATCCAATTTTCTACGTAAATTATGTGTTACACATATAAAATAGAATTCCGGTCCTATAAACATCGTTTGTATAAGCGAAGGTTTCAATGGTATCCGACTATTTGAACTTTAGATGAAATTATATTATCTGAACTATTATTTTGTTGTGTATATTAAAACATTTTCAAATAATTCGCGTTCTACTATTACCAACTGTTACCCAACCTTCTTACACAAAAATCTTAGATAAGAGTATATGGCGTGAGCGGTTACATGTGCGTGAAGATTCCATGATTAAACTCAATTTTTATAATTGCTGAATAAAATTGAACTACTTTATTAAAATAAACAGAATGTTATTAATATGCAATTATATCATTAATCTTTAAAATATCTTTAAAATATATTTTGTATCAAAAAAAAAAATATATATATATATATAAAATATGAAAAATTAATTCAATTAAGCATTGCATAATTATTGTGTTATACGATTGAATAAAATATGAAATTATTGATTGAACGAAAACTCTGAAACTAAATTACTAAAATTATATTGATGAGAATTCAACCGATAAAATGACCGATGATATATAATTCAATTTTTTTTATTAAATGATCAGCTATAATATTTCAATTCAACTAATTTTCTTAAATCTTCTTACAATTTTAGATCGTAGACACGATTACAGTAATATCCCACGAAGTAATATTAAAATTCCACGGGATTCGCAACCAGTTTGCGCCGACATTCCTACCACGAAAAAAAGAAAAAAAGTCTTTGAACAATAACCCACGTTAATATGTACTACCGCATCTAGCAAGAGAAATGACTCAAGTGCCTGAAATTGATTCAATTGTCTTCGAAGCGTACTGACGCCAAATTATGTAAATCAACGTGGGTTTTCGATTCTGCTTCCAACTTATAGAAATGCCTAATGTTCCGGATTTTGAGTTGCAAATTAGCCATCACTATCCTCCTCCTACTTCTTCACGAAATACTTTCACGATTTAACGTTATCAAATATAATCTTCAAGGATACAAATGTATTCAAGAGTATAAGTTCTTGAGAGTTGCACTTGAAAGTTATTTTTCGTGAGCACTGCATTAAAAATAAAAGTTATTCTTGGACACTTCACTCAGTTAAATCGTAAAGATGTGAACATATTTGAGACTAAATTTTCGAACGTTTTTCTTGAATGTTCGTTAATGAACGCTATATTGAGAATGACAATTAATTAATTATTCAGCACACAGTGTCCATTAACGAAAAATGCAACTTTTAGAAAATGAATAGCAAAATTACCACGTGCAAATCATGACTCGTAATACAACTTCTTTTATTATATAAAATAAATTGATGGATGTCACTTTGTTTCATAACAAAATTTTTTTCGTTTCCGTTATAAAATAAATTGGTCAATTCAAATCACACAATATAGTTTTTCTAATTTGAATTATAAAATAAATTGGATCATTTTTGATCTTTAAATAAGAATATTCAATTTATTTTTTATTATAATAATCTTGCAAGACGTTTACCGGTGAAAGGTTAACTTAACCTAAAAATACCCAAGTAAAACTCTCGAGTATTTTTCAGTACTGGCAACTTAAGAGTATCAAGTGTCTCCCTCTTTCGTTTATTTCATGCAACACAAAAATTCCTGTATTCACAGTCTGTTAAATTATTCTTAAATTCTTAATTTGTGCAAAGTATAATTGAAAAGAAATTGAAAGAAAACAAGGAAGTCAGTAGCTTGATGCAAGAACGATCTTCTTCCAAAATGATAGTGGAGAGAGCCAGGAGGCTAGACGTTGAGCAATGGAATACGGGCGTATATATCTCTACGGGCTATCTAACCGCTAGTTAAAATTATCGGTACGCGGATCGACTGGTCCTTCGGGCAAAGTGCATATTGTGCGCGGATCTATGAACGCGAACACGTCGAAGGGAATTATTGCACGCTCGAATTATGGTTACCATGCGGCTGAAGAATTTCTTTGCTGGGGATGCATACCGGTAGATCCTGCATCTATTAAACGCTTGAGCCAGGACATTGACATCGACGTTCATAATTAACTCTTTAACCATAACGTATCTATTTTTACTGATCATATCTACAATGCTCGGTTAAATATAATCAAAATTCAGGATCTAGCATTTTTTCATCTTTAAAAATTGAATCGAATATAGATCGACAAAGTAAGAATATAATAATTAGAGAAAGTGAAATAAATTGCATGTTAAAGGAATGCAAATAATCGTAATATAAAAAAAAATTCATTTTTATCTCATTTTTATAAAGATTATAGTGAGATTGTTCAGATATTCTTCTTTCATATAAATTTTTAGAAATTAAAAATCTTTACCATAGAAAACTTTCATGAAAGAAGTAGAAAGACTTTTTCTTTGGATCCGAGTAGACTTTATATTTGCCATATAATGATTTTATTATTATTTTTATTCGTTAATAACTAAAAAATTTTGGAAATTTTAATTTATGCGCAGAAAATAAATAAATATCATAGAGTAAATATGGTAGCAATGATAAAAATTTGTATTCCAATAAGAAGAACGCGTATATGGGCAAGAAGCAATCAAAGGTTGATAGGCATCCGATTGCATTCATCAGACTCGAAGAAAGAAATTGGAAAGAGGCGGCGATTAATCGAACGTACGTGCACAGCTTTGAATCAAGTTTAACAGAGGCAAAAACCGCAATAAAACCAAACTGGGCGATTCTGTTACGTGATTAAACGTCGATCAGGTGGAATACCAGACGAAAAGGAGACAGATTCGCGACTAATCTTAAGAAGTGACACAAAGTTTGTAGTTGAATCATGGAACATTACCGGTATTATGTTAGTAATTTGATTTCAATCGTTGTTAAAATTAAAGAAGAAATTAATTTACATTGTAACAAACTCTACAACGATGTAGAAATTAGTTTTTGGGTAGATCAGTCGATAAGTAAGTTATTCCTCTCTATTAACTTTTGTTCTAGAAAAGATATTTAAGTAATTATGCCACTAGATGGCTACATAGATGATTACATAGAACTTTGTCGTTGCTGTAAATATCATTTCAATTGCATCAAGCAATCGCATATAGTTTGTTAAACATGAAACATCATATAATAGATATGTCGAAATGGAATGCATATATTTTAGATTTTTGACGACAAAAAATTATTTCCAGCGTATTTTTATCATTCAGATATATCATGTTTTCACAAATGAAGAAACATATGATTGGAAATTATTTTAACACGGATGACGAAGTGAGGTATTCATCTTGTTTAAAATGTTGGGTAATCGAATGGAAATTCTTTTAAGACGTAATGTATAAATTAGATCCACGTTCCGATAAATTTTTGCAGATGATGAAGCATTATATTGAGAAATAGTATTTGAATGTATATAAATTTCTATTAGTTACATTAGCTATAAAATTATTTTATTATTTTATTACATATTTCATTTCATTTTTATCATCATTATTATTTCTTATTTATTCATATTTTTTTTTTAGAAGAAAAGAATAATCTTTTAGTTATTATTAATAAACTCACATGTATGAAACTATTGAAAAAAGCATTGTTAATCAAATTATTTCCAATAAAAATAATAATTATTTATATCAACATTTTTTTCATCTGAAGTTTCGGTTCTTAGAAAACTGTTTGCTCGTATATGAATTTAATTAATTTCCATAAATAACTCCAACGTAATTTTATTTATTATTGATTTTCCACTTGTTTTGAACGATAAATAAAATCTTCCTGACCTCATTTTTATCATAAATTATGGAATAGATTATATACTATGAGGCAGCAATTTTCAATAAAATATATGCAATATATGAATAAAATTTTGTGCACATATCTTAAAAATATTATTTAAGATACAATAATAGTAAAAATAATAATTTTCATCTTAGAAACAAAAAAATATATATATATATTTTTATATTCATTATATTTAATTTTTTATATTTATATATATATATATTCGTAAATATAATTTATCGTGAGATGAGAAAAGATTGAAAATCGTTGCCATAAAATAATAATCCGTCGGAAAGATTGCGAATATAATAATAAGATCGTCGTTTATAGTTATAGAATCTTACTGGGTCTTTTCCTCAAGGACGAGCATTTTCGCACGAGAAAGACTGGCTGGCCGGAAGCCTTTCGAAGTTGAGATTTTCGCCTGAGAGGTCTTCTCCTAAGCCCCGATCTTTGCCTCTTTAAGTGTTGCTGCCTATGCATCACGTGAGCGCTCTTCCTTCGTTCGAGATGATTGGCCGTTTCGTCCTCGGTTTCGCTGTCGGTAGACGAGAGACATCTGTAGTACAACGATGAATCTATTCTCGTCTTCTCTTTGCCAATGAGATTGCTCGAGCCCTTCGATAGAAAGCTGAGAAACTGGTTACTGGCAAAGTAATTCGAAGTCATGGGTCGCCATATCGTTCTTCGCGCGAGGACCCCGCTAGTTCGTAGCTCCTCGGAGAATAGTTTGTCTTCGTTAAAATCGCTAATCTTTGGTGCCCGACAAGCCGACGACGAGGAGGATGTCGCGGAGAAGGAACCTAACGAGGACGAGACCAACGAGTTCAAGCCTCCTTCTCGCCTGTCGTTAAAATCCCCCGAAAGCAACAACTTCAGGTCGTCGAATTGATCGTCCGACAAATTCGACGAATAATCGTCGATTCTCTCGATTACAGGAATCTCAGCCTCGGGAAAGTATCTGATCTCTCGCCAGACTCGCCTCTGACGTTTCGATCTACGTCTTTCCGGCGGGACGAACCATACCGGACTGTTCGAACGCGTCACGGGCTGAGGTTGAAGTTGAGATTTCTTTACCCTCTGAGACGCCCGCTTTCCACGCCGTCGAGAACTGGACCGCCTCGAGGCGTTCGTTCGCTTGAAGTAACCCTCCGCGCTTACGCTCGGCGATGGTTTCTTCGTTCTTCGGTTGAAGAAACCATTTCTCGTACCCCTAAAGTCACGTTATTATTCACGTCTACCCTCGAAATTTTCGACCGATGAAATTGACGAAAGTTACGTTAATCAAAAAAAAAAAAAAAAAAAAATAAGTCGACAGATATTTCAATCTTGGATCAATATGATTTGAAAAAAAATGATTAAAAATATTTGAAACTATTTATTATTATTATCAACATAAATTTCTTGACTTTTTATCAAATATGTATTTTTATAGATATACAGAATGAAAAAAATTATAGTCTTAATTGTATTTCGCAATTTAATTGCGTGCCAAATTACGAATTTTTAAGGATGTTTGTTAGATGATGCGAAATATTGAATTTTTATTTGTTTGAAAAATGAAAACACTAGTGTATATTAAATTAAAATTATCTCTTAAATAAAAATTAATTAAAATAACTTCATATAACATAATTAATATTATAATACATAATTATTATTCAATGAAAAGTATTAGATATTTTAATATTATTATAATCGACAATACAAAAGACGATTTGGCACGCTTTTACTATTTAATTATTAAATATAATTAGATAAATATTCAACATGGCATAAAAGTTCTTCAAAAGTTCATAACTTTCCATGCAAGCAATGAATGAATGCAACAATTAAGATATCATCATTTTCAGATTCTGCACGTTAAAAATTTTTTACAAAAATTTCATTCATTAATAAAAAGTATATTTTTGTGATGTTTAATTATGTAAAAAAATAATATTTGAAATAACGATATATTTATCTAATTGAAATTATTTCAATTTCAAAAGACATATACTATAATTTCAAATTTCAAATTTACACATTTGGAAATTTTTTTACTTTCGCAATTTCATCGTCGACATGAATTGTGCCAATTAATAAACACGATTGATAATAACCCTGCACGAAAATCAGCCAACTTGGCGATTCTCAAGGAAAAACCGAATGCAGATGTGATATCTTTTCCGGTGACACTTTTCTCCGGAGCGGAAACTGTTCGCGCCACAGTAGGCTGAGGTTTCCTCTCTTTGAGCGCACTGTCCAAAGAGTGGTGTATAGACGGTCCCGAGGATGAAGGGAAGGGCATAGGTACCGCATCTCTCCATATTCTACCAAGATTAATACTGACGCTAGGAGGTCCTTCGGTAAATGGTTCCTGCACGACATCTTGATGACCGTTTTTTTCTTGAATCGTCTCGTTCGATATTCTGAAAGGCTTCGAAGCTAATATCGGCGATGCATCTAAATCGAGAACTTTTAAATCTTCGGCCACGTGATCAGCCTCGATCTGTTTTTGAAATTTCGAAACGTTGTTCTTTCCTAAAATATGTTGTTTATTTTGTTTGTTCTGTTGTTGCTCCCGATGCACCTCATCCAATTTCTCACGCGAGGACGAACTGACACCTTGCAACCATTCGTCGTAACTGATCGATTCGCGACTCAAAGTATCGTCCTGAAGTTTCTTCGGTTTCTGTTCGTTTATTATCGTCTGCTTCTCGATACATTTCTCGTCTAACTTCGTATCAATGGAGGGCGCGACAGTCGGCTCCAGGCTCTTCTGAAGCTTGTTACGTCGCTTGCCCCGATCCAGATAACTTTTTCTTATCGATATCCTTTTGAAGGACTCGCTGCGCTTGAAGGATGGCTCGTTACGGTCCTTCTTGCGGCCGACGAGCCTCCTCAAGTTCTCAAAGGACAGTGGTCTCATGAGTTCGGCCCTTCTTCTCCACTCAAACGATCGTCGTGTTCATTGTTCACCTTTTATCCCTTTGCCGTATCCTCGACGCGTCTTCGTGACTTTTTCTTCAAATACTTTGATCTCATGTGTATATTGACAATTTCTCTTTCCCTATCTATTTTATACACCTATGTTACTTTATACTTTCTCGAATTACACCAGGCCGAAAGGAAATTTACCAAGAACTAGCATTCTCCGTTTACATTCTACGTCTTTCGATTTATCTCGGTTTCCGCTTCGAGTTATCTCGTACCGGGAATCGAATATCCTTTCGAAGCAATCGCCGAACGATTCCTCGCGAATGGAGGATTCGTTTTCGTTCTTCCAGCAAACCATGCGTCCACTTCGAGTCCTTATCTCGTTACGAATATCCGGAGAGAGAAAAGAAGAGGGAGAAGGAGAAAGCGAGAAAGAGAGAGATAGACTGCGAGGCTGCACTGGTTCTCCTAGTATCTCTCTCTTCCTCATTTGTATCGTAGTTCTTCTACTCTTTTCTGTCTCTCTCGATTGCTCGGCAAACGTGCACGCTTGCGCGTTTCTGCGATCTTAAGGTGCAACTGCCGAGGTCTTCCAGTCGCGAATCACCATGGCTTTCCTTTTTCGACGTGCCGCAAATCCAATCGTTCTTTCTCCACCCTTTTCGTACAATTTACTCGACAAAGATTCTTCGACAAAATTGATAGCAATTCGGCAATCGGATCAAATAGATGCTTTAAGAAAAATTGAAGTTAAATTGTTACCAGAGCCAGATTAATTCGAGATAATGCGGTTTCAACGTTAAACTCAAGGGTAAAACCATCTTGTTACGTTCTGCCTCAAGGAAACTATGATTCGATAGCAGTAACCACGAGGTGTAACCACGATTAATATCGCGAATCAAACGCAATTTATTTCAAGTTACTTCGATGGTTTCGAAAAAGTGGATTTTTTTAGGTTAGGTTCGGCGAACATTTCGAAGAGACACCTTATGTTCACACAATAATTCCAACTGGTATTCAAAGCTGATATTATTCTTTTGTATGTGTATGCACTTTATTCGAAAGCATCTAGAATCGTTGAAAAGATATTCGACGATACTTTCTCCGCCCTCGAACGATTACGAAATTGATTTCATCCTTTCTTCCGCCATACATGTTGTCAGATATATATATTTATTATTTTATATCAAAACGAATCACCAATCAATTCTCACTTTGAAGAAATATTATAAACACTGAACAATCACTGAATTTTATTTTACAAACAATGCATGTATAAAATTTCGAAACATAAATTTAATTATTATACACATTATCACTATATATATCGATTCCAAGAAAGATGAATTCTTCAATATTTTTTCTTCAATATCACAAAGTTATTGATATTACGCTGAAACGGCAACGTCACGTCACATACCGGCCTCGAAAGCATGACTGACCAATTTTACCGTTTTTATAATAAAAAAAAGTGCAAGCATAGTATTTGTAAATAGAATTTCTATTAGATTCTTGGACAATTATTGGACATCATTCTATTATAAAAATAAGAATTGTTTGTATATGATAAAAATAAATTATGCAAGAAACGATATTATAAGAATAAAGAAAAAGGAAATTTTGAATATTGATACGCCAACACATTAAATCTGAATCGAGATATCTAGTAATATTTTATTCTATTTCACGTCAGACGAGTTTTAAATAAAAGGAAGATATACGACCATATAATATCACCAGTTTTTTCCGGTTTAATACTTGCAAATTTTTTTTTTGATGGCTTCATAGTTAATATTCGTACGATCACCAAAATAATTATACGAATTATGAGTATATTGCATATTATATACACAAATCATATAATAATTTTATCCTTTAATCCAGATTTATATTTTTAAAAATTTTAATAGAATGATACAATTTAATTTAATCATATAATTAAATTTAATACGTGATACAATTTGCACAAAGTATGTAATATAATAATAAGAAATTATAAAAACAAATGAAATGAATATATAAGAAATGTTAGAAATTTTAATCTTATGTTATCTCAAAAAGATAAACGGAAAAAAAAGAAAATTATCTTTTGTATTCAAAAAGATCAATCGTGCAAATGTCATCTCTATGAAATCGGAAAAAACTTGTTGTTTCTCGAGTTCGCGCCCATGAGAATCTATGTATTTCACAAACTTTCTTTCTCTTTTTACGATATTTTTTGTCAATAGCAAAAAAAAGCCACGATAATTATAAAATTCATTCTAATTTTCAATCTCGATTGCGTTTCGTCTATTGTATATAATACGCGACATGATATTACGTTCACAAATACTTAATATCGAGACGTTCTCGAAAATACGCGTCTGAACATCATCATTCAAATCAAAGTGAATAATAGAAAGAGACAGAGAGAAAAAGATAAAAAGACATATAAACAATAAGAGAAAAATGATTTTAAAAAAACGGTAAACGGTAGGAATATAGTTACACAATAATATCAAACGCGGTAATGGTAATAGCAATGAAGAAACAGGGGGAAGAAAAACAGAAAAGAGAAGGAAAAAAAAAAAGTAGAGCAACGATAGTAGCGGCACTAGTAGTATAAGCAAGAGTATAAGCGTGATGCACGTAGGAAGCAAGGGTAGCAGCCGGTTGGTATGTGCGCGTTTGTGTGTGTACGTGTGTGTGTATGTATACGAGGCGTACTCGAGTCGCAGAGCGTCGCGACGCGGGTCTACCCTTATCACGGAGGGCAGAGGAACGAGCATCAGTCGAAGCACACGATCCCCTCGTCTCGTAAGGAGAAAAACTCTCGTAGTGCGCGTAGTCGAAGTCGCGTCGAATCACTGGCATTTCGCGAGCTCTCGACGCTGCACCTCTCCCTGGCTCACGAGAGAACCGCCACGGATCCGGCGAAAGAGAAATAGAGAGGGACCGAGCGATCGGTCGGACGGGAGAGCGGGAGGGAAAAGGAATGATAGAGAGAGAGAGAGAGAGAGGACAGCAGAG